ATCGCTTTTTCTTGAAAGTTCTTCTCAATAATTGCGTGGTTTCGAGCGCTCAGGACGACGCTTGAAAGTAAGTAGCAACTTTGTGAAGCTGAAATGGTTGTAAATGAGCTAGGAACCCAAATATATATGTGAGGTAAAAAAAACATGTTATTAGTAGTAAGCGGAAATAAATGTTCCACTTAGGCGATTAGTCGCCGTGAAATGGTTTGTGTCGACTTTAGAGAAAGAACAATAATGAGGAGAGATGGGGTAACAATAATGCGTTGGCGAAACTTTTCTACACAAATATCAGCTTTCATATATGCATCCGCGCGCTATCAGTGCTCATGTTTAGCGTCTAAATCAAAATACAGGGTGATTCAATACGACCGTAGATTTTTATTTACAAACAAAAACACAACCAAATTTAAAAAAATTTTTTTTTTTTTTAATTATTCTAGTCTTGTATGGCATTTATGTACGAAAATTACTGCTAAATGCCTATACGACTTCTCAGGAAAGACAGGGTGCTCGTATCAAAATTTTATTTTGACTTTTTGTCACAGTGCAATTGCGTCAAGTCGCACGATCTTGGCGGCCATTTGATCTCTTTGTTTGTGGGATAATGCGTCCTGGGAACTTCGTTCGGAAGTTTACTTTATACGTCAACGTTTAGGAACTTATGTACTTTTTTTTAATATTTTTTTTTTTTACCCGTAGATTCGAATGTTTTAAAAAGAAAATGATTATTTTTTACTATATTTAATTTTTAAAAAGTTATCTAATTTTTTTATTTTGGGTTTTATTGTTTTAAAAACAAAAATAAATTTTTTAATAATTTAATTTTTTGATAACTCGTTAGTAGATCTTTCAATTAGTCTTTTAAAAGACAGAGAATAGCTTCCAAGCTAGCTTCCAGAATCGACAATTGTCGAATGAAAAAACTTTTTCTTTCGAGAAACTGTGCCGAGTTGAAAAATAGTTGGCAGAATTGCCCAGTAAAGTTACTTCGGTGGATGGTACACATCCACATTGTACCTAAGGGGTGATAGCTAGGATTCCGAGAACCACAGTGTGACAATCGCTCGCTAGGTTTAAGCATCTAGAATGTTCGTGTTTCATGAAAGCAATGCACACATGTCCGACAACCGCGCTAGAGTTAACTTTTAAGCCGAAACCCTTTTATACAACTATAGAGCAGAGAGTTAACTTTTAAGCCGAGCAGAGAGTTAACTTTTAAGCCGAAACCCTTTTATACAACTATAGAGCAGATAGCCCCAAATAAATAGCAATGTACTTTGCTCGAGGAGAATTTCGCTACGGAAAACTCTTGTTATCTAGGAACGTTGAGAAACTACGTTCTCAGCCTAAAGATGATATAAAATAGGATTCGTATAATCCAGAGAACATCCAAAATCGAGCTGTGTAGAAAAACTAATTGAAAAAAAATTTAAATTTAAAGAGGAGCCTTCATTCTGCTACTCTCACAAAGTGGCAAATATGTATGTATGGATCCAAAACAAAGTTGCTTATGGGGGAAATCCCGAACATTTATCAGGCAGAAGTCTACGCCAAACCAATGTGTGGTAAGATTAACTTACGAGGAAAATACACAGTTATTACTCAGAGAGGGAATAGATAATCTCAACTCTCTTCTTGAGCACAACGATATCCAACGGATAAACTAACTAGAGAATCAGTAGACACTACTCGAACTGGGCCCAATACGATTACAAACAGCTCAAGAAATAGAGGAACAAATTGAGAGAACGATACTGGCGATTCAGTCCAAAACTTCACCAGGCTAAAGCTGGGGTTGTTGTTTAGTCATCTCTGTCGCTTTTTCTAAAGAAACACCACTAAATCGCATTATTCATTGAAGGCGATGCCAAGACAGAAAACCTGAGCCGAGTTTAGGCTGAATGTAGCGGAAGGTTGAGCACATCCACTACCTACCTTAGGTTTAGAAGAGCTTTATAGGTCGCTGGGCATACCTCTTTTATTTTTTATCCTAAAGACAAAAAATATGCAACCGCAAACTGTCAGAATCTCAGCCAAATACTAAAAGCAGGGTTAATAAGAAAATAATCAGATAATCATTCTTACAATGCAAATAATATCGCGTTACAGAAATAACAGTATGAAAATACCCCAAAGCACTTATATACACACATATACGTATGTATGTATGTATATAAAATATATGAAAAGGGAGCAAATACATTGACTAACAAAAGTGCTGATGTTGACAAACTATTAATCCATATAACAAATGCAACAATAGCAAAAATTGTCAAAGAAAACAACAATAAAAAGCATGCCAATATGCGGAAAAATATCTTTAATAGAAAGTAGAGAGCAAGAAAGCAAGAAAGCAAGAAAAAATCTTAAAAACACTAATCTGATGCCTTTCAACACAAAAAATTAAACAAGGATTTGATATGAATCAGGACATGCGAATAGTTTCATATATGAATCTACCATCCTGCATAAATGTGCATGTACATGTGTGCGATGCTGAGTGCTGCGTGTAGATCGCAGATACAACAGTCGCCTCTGACACGGTGATTACATGATTACACGCTTCGACGCCACCGACAAAGCAACCGAGTACCGGGTGGATATACATATGTACATACATATGTACATATCTACTCACAGCATCGGTGTTTAATCCGCCTGGTATGCAGGGCGGGGCGGGCGGCTGAGTATGTGCTGGAGACAAAGCGAGGTTCATTGTTTGCTGAAGGACCTCATATGACATACATATATGTATGTATTTTTGCAGTTTTGTTGCTGTTGACTGTGATTATGGGCATTTTGCTATATATAATTGGTCGTGTCACATTCTTCAGCTTTCTTTCTTGCTTTCCACTCATACCTTTGCACATTCTCATTCGTTCCTTGTGATTTTCTGTTGCCTAACCTAAATTTTGGTACTGATTTTGTATGCGGTTGCCCTGTGTATTGTTATTCCTATTGTGATTTTTCGATAGTGGGAAAAATTATTGTCAACAAGCCTTAGTGGAATTAGTACTTTCTTTTCTTAAGCATAATCCCCATAAGTAATGTGGGATACATTGGGTCACAAAAAAAGTACAAATTTGCTGCTCTCTGTTTGTGCTTGAATACGGAAAAAAAATGAAATGAATTATTGCAAAATAATAGCCTGACTACAAGTATTGCACAGTGCATTACAGCATTTCATGTGATGCTATTATTTTTTACGTTTTTTTTTTAATTCGGTGATGGGCCGATTTAATGCCTCACTAGATTTTTGAGTTACACTCACTTGAGTGCAGAGATTTATGTTCTTGATGAAAGGTGTATAAGACGTGTGTAACAACAAGGCGAAGGGAGTAAAAAAAAGCGTGTGCAACATAAAATCGCATTCCATCTGTCGCAAATCTATACCATCCTCACAACAAACTCACCCAAGCAAGCAATGAATGGCCGCCATGGAAAAATCATCAAACGAAACTGATGTAAGTTTTAAAACGAAATATCTTTCCCCCTTCACTAACCTAAGATTTTGGATAAACTGACGCACAAGACGGTCAGAGACGCCACGAGAGGGATCATGCATTTTTATACCCGAGCCCAATCTTTTATTCAGAGAATAGTGATCTAAGGGTAGCGATCCTAGACGGCAATCAAAGTTTCGAAGAATACCAGACTTTGGGTAATACTTTATGCAGCGCGGTTAGCGGTTAGCGCTTAAATAAGGGCGATTCTGCCGAAATGAAATCTACAGCATATCTAAGTAATCCACTAAGTAATCCGTTGTTTCCAATCTGTCAAGGTGCTTTTAAAACTCCCCTTGCTACCATGGAATGTAACCATTGAGTGGTTTTTCTGTGAGAAAGTCTCAACAATACCTTTTACAATAAGTAGATCAAATTCGCTTGGTTTTGGCATAGGCTTGTAACAAAATCTGGCGGTACCTAGAAGCCGATTATGGTATTTGGAATAAATAGTGGCTTATTAAGCAAGTCTCTCCCAAAAGCTTGTTCTCC